GGCTTGCGGGGTTTGAAAACATACTTCGAAGTGTTTAGGGTTGTAACTGAACGGGAACGTACAGAAGCTGCAGCTGAGTGTGATGCAGGACGAGCAAAACGGTCAGTTCCAGAGCTGGGACCTGCGGATAAAGTATCAAATTTGGGAGAGTATTGTTAGTTGTGTAGGTTATGGTTCGCAATTGAGTCGCAAATGAGTCGCAATTGCAATTGTTCGAACTGCACTTGTTGCTGTTGAAGAATTTCTTGCAAACCTTCAGCTGAAATCGACATGTTTTTGTTTGCGTTGAATTCCCGTCGCCAGTGTTATATCCTCTTTGGTAACGTATCAGTCAGACTCGTCGGTTCACAGGAATGGGGAAGACAAACAACTTCGAGGAAGTTATATTGCAAACAGGTGGATCGTTCCGCGATGTGGAATTCAACTGAACCAGAATATAGAAGGAGCTAGCATTCCGATAGGATGTCAGTGAGAGGCTGAAATGTAGAAACAAGGTTTCGGTATACAAGACAAATCATTAGCAAAGCTGATTTGTTCGGTTAGAGGTAGTCCTCCTACCACTAGCGCTCAGTCCCTCATCCCCGTCCACTTTTATTTTTTCCCTCACGATAAGTCGAAATGGCTGATTGATTAGAGCGCGGATTCACCCACCGCTCATCTCGACTTCTGTCTAGGGTTGGGCTACCTGGCAGTATCCCAACCCTCATGCTTCCTTCTGGTGGCATGACAGCTAGGCACCGGACGACTGTTCGTTGTGCATTAAACACCAACTGCCGCGGGTGTGTGAAAGTCTATGGAAAGCTCTCGCCCGAGCTCGCCACATCAGTTGTTGTCAGGCAAGACTGTCCTCTAATGCCGATGAAGTCGAAATGCTTCCAAGGTATTTGCTCCATATATCGAGTACTCAGATAACATAGCTCTTCTTGTATCTGACGCAGATGATATAATTTTGCCTGACGGTTTGGTGTGCATCTCACACCTGCAAGGTGTAGAATGCTTATGTGAGAATGGGTGAGCTCGGATACTAACCTCATGCTAACGGATGAGCCTATTGAGGTAGCTGCCTCAGCCCCAGTGAAGCATCGGTGTTGAGCACTGATATCATGCTGTCGATGATCATGATCATGATTGGAAAGACCGGAGCAGCTTTTTGAGCCTGTATTACCTGTGGTGCAGACGCGAAACCGGTTTATCTGTCAAGGGCCGAGTTTACGGTGCTATCGCTATATGAGTCGAAAACCTTGCTGCTGCGCGCCGAGGACGTTAAAAAACTTTCATTGCTTAACCATCAGTGTCTTCAAGCCCTTGTGTGAGTCTGGTGGAAGCAGCGGACCAGTAACACTGAAGCACTTCAAATGGATTTTGGAAGGCTAGAAACGAACCAGGGGAGGTCAAATAATATTTTAGCAGTGAAGCACGAGAGCCATTTTCAGTGAACTCAATTGCGCTGGTCATTGCCATTTCCCTGAATGTGTCCCCTGAGTTGGGACACATCAATGGCTAAGAACATTGTCAGACATGGTCCAGTCGACTTCATAATAACACGAATGCATCCAAGCTGTTCCTCCTGTTGATTTCGTCAGCGAGAATTCCAGTGATATCCCTGTGTTGACATTAGTTATATCAGCTACCTCCTCCATTGCGTAGCCATCTACAGGTTTGGCTGTATGTCCCACACTGTTCCAGTTCCCGGTGGTCGAAACTGTAGCAGCTGGAACCAATGTGTCTGTGTTACACACTTTATAGGTGGTAAATTGATTTAATGATTGTAACCTATCTCCGCAGATCATCGGCGAACGAAACTGTCGGGTATAGTCAATGTACAACATGTGTGCAGCTTTCAGAGTGGTTGGGCCTTGTTGAACCAGTGCTCACAAAAAAATCAATTGTTTATCTGTAGCCTTCTTGGTGCCCGGCCGCCGTGCCAACGGAACGAGGTACGAAGGATGGGATACTGTCAGGTTGCCTAAGCATAGACAGGAGCAGGCGAGATGCTTAAAGTTGGGTTCGAACCGCGGAACTTGGGATCCGTAAGTTGGTATCTTGACCACTCAGCTACTTAGAGCTCTCTCACGTGCTTATCACAACACTCAAGTCCGACAACAACGTCAAGGTTCCAAATTGTTCAAGTGCAGGATCAAGCGATAAACGAGGGTAGGGTTCGACTTAAGAACTTTTCGGTTTGAAGCTCGGACTTAACTACTCCACCATCACAGGCTCAGACAGGATACCTTAAATTTGTATTTGTCCGGCAACATATGCTTTTTCAATAAACGGAGACGTTTCCCCCTAACTTTTTTTAAGTTTTTCTTTGCGTAAATGCAGAATGGAGCCGTAACCATCGTTAGTTTGTTGCTTCACTAATCACCATCGTTATCTGCTTTTCAGCCAGCGTAAACAGTTTTGGGGCTTCTTGTACACTGCTACTCACCTCGACCTCGTAAATCGGTAGGTTTTTATTGTCTTTTCCGGCTTTTTCTTATCTGATCGGAGTCTTTACGAATAGGACGAGTGCGTTTGTCTTTTATCGGAAGCCGTAACACCATGCATCCGGAGTGTAGCTAAGCTAGTGCCTCACTGCAGTTACAGGTTCCTTTCCTATTTAATCACATGAAGCAGACTGCACTAGTAAGCGTTCTCCCAAGAACGACCACGTTGCAGAACGGACCACTTTTGCTAGAGCTTTTGGGGATGCTTTCTCCACAGGAGATATTTGTACAATCCACTAATATAAAGCTCTTCAAATCGTTCTCATCACAATAGTGTGCTTACCCAACCTAGCAAACAGACACTTAACGATAGCGTACTACCGGGTCTTTTTTCGTGAGCCTCATCATCGACATGTATTTTCCTGTACCGCACTTACACATAAGATTCAACATTCATGCATTTAGACAGTCATCTGCGGTCTACGATGATGATGACATATCAAGGGAAAATATTTAGGATATCGATCCAAGTGCAACACAATGCGGTGGGTGATTACACTCGGTCTCATTTCAGTTTCGTTTCAATAGGGTACGCTGCTTGAACTTTCCAAATGCTTCTGTCTGATTGGTTCGTCCCTACTGAGGTAACCTATCAGTATCCCAACTTCCTTTGGGTGGCATGGCAGCTAGGTACCGGAAGAGTGTTACAACTGAACGATTCATACTTCTTTATTTTTAATGCACATTTGGGGTGAATGACCGTAAAATTGGTGGTAGCGGTGTATGTACTCACGTACGCGGACATATTGGGTTGAACTATTTGTGTCAAGTTCACTGGGTTGGGTTAGCAGAGATTATGCGCGTCTGTGAGAGTATGTGTATGTGGGTGTAGTTGGGTACCATTAGGCCGTTGCTTTCTATCAGTCTGTTCATTTGAGTTCAGCCCAACCTACAAGGATGAAGAATGGACACCATAACTGCGATGACCACAGGTTGGGTGAGTATAGATCTCAAGTGTCAGTTGGCTTCTGGCACCAGCAGCCAGGCGTAGACAGCAGATAAAACTGGTAAGACGGGTGATTTGATGAAGCAGAAGAATCTCTATATCGAAGGTTATGTTCGACAGTATCGAGGTTGCGGCAGACCAGCGACTATACATATCTCAGCAAACTACTGGGGCCAAATATAAATGAGGACCTAGAAAGTTAGTCATCATCATCATCATCGACAGTTAGGACTCAAACCGATAGAGTGCCACTCTTATACCATAAATATCTAAATTTTGCTCTAGTCATATGGATTTGACGTCGCGTCTTTGTGGTAATGAGTCGATGAATCAACTTAGGTGCTAGGAAAACGTTCAGCTGTAGCACCCTTCCGGTGCCTAACTGCCATGCCACCCGAAGGTTGCACGAAGGCCGGGATACTGCCAGGTTGCCCAACTCTAGGCGGAGGAAGTCAAGAGGCAGAGGTCGGGTTAGAGCGCGAATTCACTGATCGGAAGGTCCCTGGTTCGAATTCGACTTTCCATGTCTAGGCTTGGGTAACCTGACAGTATCCTGGCCTTCGTGCTTCCTTGTGGTGCCATTGCAGTTAGGCACCAAAAGGGGGCTTCAACTGAACGAATTCAGCGGCATCACCGAGTTTCTTTGATCATTCCTGTAAGTTAGGTGTATTTGTCTGTGATGTTTTTTTTTCTGGCGTACATCTAATTGTCTTTATGTTTGCCCAATATATTGTCCTATACAATCCGAACATTTGAGCATATGGGCAAATTGTGTGTTCATCTAGTCCCGATTCCTTACTAGAGGCCTTTGTAAGATGTTGTCCCCATCAAACAGTTGCAGCTAAATAGGCTAGTTTATGTGTACAGTTATTCTCAGTGGAACAGATGTATGAAATGACTTTGGCTAAGCCCTTAACGGTACCGAGTTTGAGATGCAGGTGTGTGATCCCAGTTCGCATCGTACACAATACCGCTATATTTAACGGTCCGCTCGGTCAACTGGGTACGTTGGCAGTTTTTACACGGAACTCATTCGTGACGTTTTTATTGATACGTGCCCCTTGTTTCACAACATTCAGAACACAACCAAGGTTGACTGGAGCATGTAGTAGCCAGACGGAACTGGAATATAGGTTAGTGTGGTGCTCGTAAAATCGTTCCTCCAGTGTACTTTAGCTACTGATTTTCTGGCTTTCGGCCAAGCAAACGGCTTGGCAAAGTCGCCCATTTGACAATATCCGTTTCTTTCCATAACATCTCTTTGTCCGTGTGGCCTTCACATATCCCGAAATCAGTTCCGAAGCACAAGAGCCCAGATATTCAACCCAATCTCCCAGAAAATCTGCTAGTTAGAAACTTCTTGATCATGAGCAGTATTAGTTGTACTGTAGGGTGAACCTTTATGACCTTAATCTTCGAGGTCTTAATAGTGCTCCGTTCTCCAGTAGTTCCGTTAGCAAAGGGGCGGACCCCACGGTAACAATAACCTCCCTAAGGGCCAACGAAAACCCTCCGCTTCTTGGAAGGAAGCACTTTCCTTAAAAAGAGAAGCACCACTCATTCAGATTCTCCATTACAACAAAATGTTCTATTTGCATGGGAACGATCTGGTTACGTAGCAGATGTGCTGGTCTAGTGTATTCCATTTTGGTGTAGTGACTATCTAAGTTAGTGAAAAAAAACTTGACCATCGCCTGCTGGCAACTTTATCTGACGGTGATCTTTCGTATCCGGAAGTGATGTTCTGTCCTGAGTTTTTCATTCCAAACAAAGACAGGGACAATTAGAAAAATTCCCTCACATTTTGGATGGCATTCATCCGCCTCCTGTGTTATAAGGGGTTTTGCCTCGTAGCAATCTTTACCATTCATCGTCATTCCTTTGGTTACTTTGTGAGGTTGCTGTTCGCGAAGGTCGCTCTTCAACAAAAGCAGTCTGGACAGTCAGAGCGCGAATTTATTGACCGGAAGGTCCGTGGTTCGAGCCCGATCTTTGCCTCTCGACTTCTACTGTCTAGGCTTGGGCAACCTGGCAGTACCATAGCCCTCGTGCCTCCTTCGTGTGGCATGGCCGCTAGGCTCCGAAGTGGCGCTACAGCTGAACGATTTTTTATTTTTCGAAATTACTGCAAATGCGTTATACGCGAGGTGCATACCTTCCTGTTTGGATACAGGCAGAGGGAATATGATTGTCGTACTGACATTTGAGCCATCAGACCCATAATGCTTGTAGTCGTTTCTACTTGGTTGATTAGCTTGTTAGGAGCACTTGTTCACCGTAAAATACACTTGCATAAATGGCTACTGTTTATGGAATGAACCATGTAGTTGCATGAGCTACATAGCCCGAAATTACTGGAGGGAAGCGATTTCCGTGATAAGGATTTCGCAGTTTTTACTTATTACCCAACCACAACCGCGCGGATTCCTTTCAATCAAAGCCATTCGTTACCCTTCTTCTCATGGTAAATTTGCTCTTCATGTGCAAAGGCAATTAGTTGGCAGGGATACTTGACGTCGAGTTTAAACATTGGGTCGTTGGAGAACGCTCACCACATTGAATTTATCAGATCCCATGAGCCCTTAAACTCCACGAATACAAGGTAATATAGATAATACATCTGATTAGATATGGTTACCACATTTATGTGCACCGCGGATGCGTCGATTATCCAAATACATTAGACTCCGTAATCCCTCCAGGCTAGACAATTAGTACTACACTAGAACGGTAAATCTATTCCATATCCGGATTGAAGACGTTGCCCAAAGCTGTACACATCGAAAAGCCGAATTTCATTAGTCGTCATCATTATCGTCCCACCGTGTCCCTCTCACTACCCTTAGAGATAACAACATTATTCCTATTAACGCTACAGGCACTCCTGTTCATATCACATCACTGAAATGACCTGACACTGCTGTCCATTCCACACCTATAGGTACCAAACGCAGAAAACATGAAAAACGCCCGCAATCATCCCAATAAAACCCCCAGCACCCACAAAACTAAGCAAACCACAAACCACAAGTCACCCGCGTCCAGTTCCGATTCGGATTCCAGTGATGAGGATGTTCCGGTGGCGAGGAAGCCTGCTGGCGCGACGACGGGCGCCGGAGCGTCTAAGCCGATGACTCCCGCTACGAAGGGTGTTGTGTCTGCGGCAGGCGGTAAAGGTTTGTCGGCGGCCGTTGCTTCTTCGAAACGGCCTGCAGTGTCGAGCTCGGATTCGGATTCGAGTGACGAGGAGGCGGTTCCGTCATCGAGAAAGGCGAAGGCAGCGGTTGTGTCTAAGCCGTCGACTCCTTCGACGAAAGGTGTTGTTGCGCCAAATGTTGCTAAGGGAACCCCTGTGTCGGCGTCGAAACGAGGAGCTGCATCCAGTTCCGATTCGGATTCCAGTGATGAGGATGTTCCGGTGGCGAGGAAGCCTGCTGGCGCGACGACGGGCGCCGGAGCGTCTAAGCCGATGACTCCCGCTACGAAGGGTGTTGTGTCTGCGGCAGGCGGTAAAGGTTTGTCGGCGGCCGTTGCTTCTTCGAAACGGCCTGCAGTGTCGAGCTCGGATTCGGATTCGGGTGACGAGGATGCGGTTCCGTCATCGAGAAAGGCGAAGGCAGCGGTTGTGTCTAAGCCGTCGACTCCTTCGACGAAAGGTGTTGTTGCGCCAAATGTTGCTAAGGGAACCCCTGTGTCGGCGTCGAAACGAGGAGCTGCATCCAGTTCCGATTCGGATTCCAGTGATGAGGATGTTCCGGTGGCGAGGAAGCCTGCTGGCGCGACGACGGGCGCCGGAGCGTCTAAGCCGATGACTCCCGCTACGAAGGGTGTTGTGTCTGCGGCAGGCGGTAAAGGTTTGTCGGCGGCCGTTGCTTCTTCGAAACGGCCTGCAGTGTCGAGCTCGGATTCGGATTCGAATGAAAACGATGTTTCGGTTTCGAAGGAACCTGCTCGGGTAGTTGATACTTCGAATGGTGTTTTGTGTGGATTTAAGAGTTTTCCTTTAGGAGTCGGTGCTGCTGGAAAGCGTTCAATTAATTCTTCTGATGGGACATCGAATGCGAAGCGGCATAAATTTGATGGTATGGTTGTTTGTTCCTGACTTTGATTTTCAGTTTCTGACATGGTTGACGTTGATTGTGGTCGTCGATCTCTTCCTGCTGTGTCGAATACGTTTAATGGTGTCGATGTTTCTGGAAAATCTGGTATGCGTTGTCATTTTTTATCACCATTTGTTGTAGGGTCATTGTCCAATCACAAAGGTCGTCAGTCCTTCCCATTCCGTCGGGTGCCAGACGATATTGAAGTGGTTGATCCCCGGTTGTCCAACAATTCATACGAGGCAAAGGTTGGTAACTCTGTTTGATTTGTTATGTGGCCGTAATTTATCCAAACCGTTTCAGTTCAACACCCTTTTTGCACTTTCAGCCAGATTGAGTAACATGCAGTATTAACCTCATTTGGAAAGGCCGCTGCTATAGTGTTGATACGGGTGCTTCATTGAGCTCCGGGTAGCCCAGTTGTTATGGCGCGAATATATTAACCAGAAGGTCCATGGTTCGAATTCAATCTGTTCATCTTGATCTCTCGCCTGGGGTTGGGCAACCTGGGACTATCTCAGTCATCGTGTTTTCCTCGGGTAAGCTGGCAGCCAGGAACCGAAGGGGTATTACGACTCAACGATTATTGATGTCTTATTAGCTTCACAATAGTACGACCACGATGTGTATTTAATTCTATTCACTAGTTCAAAGTGGGAGGATTAAAAGTCTGGATGGGAAAAGGACTGATGGTAGCGTAGCACCGGCATTCTGTAGTTCCAACGCATCTGGACGGCTGGAAGGAGTTTTGAGGCAATAGGTAATCTGAATGGACGGTGGTCAAATGGCCGAATCATCTGCACCAGTACTGGGATACTCACGTGACAAGCCATCCTCCATACAGTTGTGTTGACCTTAAGTGACCACATCTCCCCGGGAAAGTGAGTCTTTCGTGCTTTGCGTCCTGTCAAGTTGCATGCATGTCCGGCCGGTCAGGAGGACGTCTGTTTCCTTGACCTACGGACTGGTCCTTACTTGACAGCGTGACAGATGACCAAACCGAGCTAACCCTGTTACTCGTGTCGCGTAGCTCTCGCCTGAGTTCACCACGTCCGGTGGTATAAGACAGGGCTGTCTTCTCTCACCCTTCCTCTTCCTTTTTTGTTATTGATATGCTGCTTGAAATTTCTCTTCATGCCTCTGAAACCTCGGGAGTCGAAATGCTCCTGGGACGTTCGCTCACAGACATCAAGTATGCGGACGATATTGCTCTCCTTGGTTCAGATCCTTCCCAGATGCAAACGATTTTAAGTAACCTGGATAACTCTGTCACACAGTTTGGTATGTTCTTCACACCTGCAAAGCGTAAAGTGCTGCCGCAAGATTGGATGGGATCAAGCATACACCTCATGTTTGCAGGCGAGCCCATCGACGTGGTAGATAAATTTGTTTACCCGGGCAGCTGAATAAGTTCCGGCGGACTGGCCGGAGATGAGATTATTTCTCAAATCAGAAAGGCCAGTGCAACCTTTGCTAGCCTCCAACATCTATGCACCAACGTGATGTAAGTTTGTCCTTCAAGGGAAGAGTTTATATTGCGGTATTGCAATCCATACTGCTTTATAGATCAGAGACGTAGCCCATACGCGCTGAGGACATATGGAACATGTCAGCGTTTGACCATCGGTATTTCCGAAGCATTAGCAAAGCTGAGGTACGCCAGATGGTCTTGGAAGAAGGAACTTTCCCGCGATAGATGATTTACTCACGCTTCATAGTTTGCGGTGGTTAGGACATGTACTCCACGTGCCAGAAGACCGTCTGCCTCACAGAGCTCTTTTCGCCCAGTCCTGTGCTCAGTGGAAGCGACCGGTGATGTTGATGCTTCGCCGCCGTACAAGCGTTACTTACTTCAAAGCCTTACTGTGAAGGAAAGGATAAAAGTTGACGAGCAAGGGACTTAGTGCTAACCCACAACAGTCATTCCAAGATGCCTGCACCTCCAGACACTCGTTCAGGTGACCTAGACAGAAGCGAACAACAAGGACGCCATTGTAATTGATTAGCAGCCATATCTTGCAGCGTTTGCAACCATGCGCAGTGAGGATCATCCAAGTAGTCGTGCAGCACCGACAGCACTAAAATGTCTCGTAATCGCTTTCATCTCCCTCTGCCTAATCAAGGGTTAACCATTTGTCTGCTTTCGTCATCCTGATTTGGACACGCAACACAGCGCTTTCTTCGGCATGCACAATAAATGGCCTAAGCAACACAGCTTGTGTAGCTGGACACATTCTTAAATAGAAGTCTCTGTAGCACAACTGAGAACTCGCTTTCTAATTGCTTCGTTGCGGAGTCACTGACACCAACCCACACGATCTATGGTTCCGAAACAACAGTTGCCGGAGGCCCGTTGCTCGAACAGGCCAAGTCACAGCCATACAAACAACAGCGAAGAAAAAAATCGTTCAGCTGCAGCGCCCTTCCGGTGCCTAGATTTCAAATAAATCGTGTTTATGCTTCAGCGAAACATCAGTGTTTAACACTAATGTCATGCTGTCGTGTCTCAAGTAGGAGTGTTAGTTCGAATCTTTACGCTGTGCGTCCTCATACGACATAATTTATGACTCATTTCTTTCAAATGGCCGAACTGGACAACGAGACTCTGATGCGGCCCACTCGTCAATTGACGGTTTAGACCAGCGGACCACCTTTTACCCTCTGTGCTTGTTTCTGTAATTCGCAAAGCACGGACCAACAGGAACTGATCAGCACAGCAGCGCAGAATACTGGCGGATAAGTTAGCACTCAACGATTGGTGTTTTCCCAGAGATGTTCTAAATCGCAGTTTACAAGCATTGAGTTCGATACTTTTACTCAAAACGCGGGCGAGAGGATTCAGTGGTTAGAGCGCGAATTTACTGACCGGAAGGTCCATGGTTCGAACCCTACATCTGCATCTCGACTTTCCCTGTCTAAGCTTGGGCAACCTGGCAGTATTTCAGCCCTTGTGCTTCCTTCCGGTGACATACCAGTCAGGCACCGAAGGGGTGCTATAGCTGAACGATTTGTTTTACTCGAAGCGAGTAAAGGGCTGGAACTATCCTTCGCTACACCAATAGGAGGCTCAGCAACCCTTAAATGGAACAAATGCGTATTTTCACCGCACTGCTATAGTCCGCCTTGTGTCCTGTCCTCCGAACTTTGGCGTAGCCACGCGAAGCTGGCTGTGGGCATGAAGAGCGGTGAGTTTAGGGCGTTCGTACTTTTCTACCTTCTGATGAAGTTCATTGCTTGAATATTCTGGCGTTCAACACGACTTGACGTCACTTATTTATCAACCATGGTGGTAGTTCCAGCTGCACGACAGCTATGCGCCAATAGGATATCACACGTGAACGATTTTTCACTTTTGCTTGACACTACGTTGTGTTCTTTCCGCTCACGTTCGGTCGAACCCCTGTAAACACCCCAGATATTTTGCCTAACCGACTCCAATTGCTCTATGGTTGGGATGATAGCACAATTATCGCTCTGTTCCACACCATTCCGACTCAGACACGGACTGAATAGTTTTTTTTTGCATCAACTGTTCTTTCGATGTTCATCGAATCGCTCTCGTAACTAGGTCAGGCCGCTAGTTGGGTGTTCAGCCTCGTCTGTCTTACAGGTAGATTCGTAACTGTATATCGCTTTCGCTTAGTAACGCTTAGCCTCTCCTAACTATGGCTGTTTTTAGGATGTACCTTTGTGTACGAGACTCGCACTGAAACCAGTTTGTAAATTTGCGTTACTGATAATTAGGGTTGCCTTCACATTGCTTATCCTTGGTGTACCTGGAGAAGTCATGCTGTTTTATCGATGCGTCATTTGTCACTTTTCGACTCCATACTACTGACAAAGTTTATGGAAACTCCTAGTAGTATTTTAGTTCCTTGTCCACCTCTCTCTCTCTGTTCTGCTATTCTCAGCCTAACTCTCGAGGAGCCTGGGGTGAGCGGGCATATAAGGACTTTCAATTTACCAGTGGAAAATCGTTTAAACACGAGAAAACGAAAAAGAAACGTGGTAATTATGCGGGTGGAGCACTGTCAACCGCGGTCTCTTCTTACAAGTTTGATGACTGAGATGTGGAAGTCAGATTTTTGTAAATATACTACCACATATACAAATATTTCTATCTCTGAGTGAACACGGTCTCATTTTATTGTTTGTTTGTTTGGGCGGATAAGCTGATGTCATGCCCACGCACAGGTGACGCAGGTTTTAGAGAGGAATGTCTATTAGCGAATATACACTCGTTTGTAAACTAATTTGGTTTTTCGAAAGACTCACCTGGAACCCAGCTGAATCTCTCGTTTGTAATGTTTTCAGGCAACTGAATGTGCCGCACCAGGCCGCCTCATGTTTCAGTCGCTACGATATTCGAGATATCGCGATACATGTATATCTTCGTAACGTACTACTCATAAGGTTGCTGAAAATCCGTCGATTGTCTATTGATCTCTCTAACAAAGAGTAAGGACATTAAACGCTGCTTAGTTTTACAAATCCCTTACTGCTCGTGGTGCATGTTAAGGGTTTATTTTTCCGGGTAGAGGGCTGAATTTATAGAATCACAAGCAGAAAGGATTGTATTGGAACGGGGTAACAATAAGGGTCGGGACTGGTAAATTGAGCGGAATATGCGGTGCTTTTCAGCTGTGGCAAGTTGTCCAGGTCGAAGAGAAGAAGGCACCCCTCCTCGATCCTTCGACCCACAAGGCCGTGAGAGAAAGTAGGGCTTTAACCTACCCCGTGAGCCGAAAGCCTGAATCGCGATGCAGAGTTTGTTAGGATTTTATCGAGGGACCCTCACTCAATAGTCTAACTCATCTGACTTCAGGGAGCTGGTCTAGGTTGAGGGCACAGGAATAAGGGTGAACTCTCTGACTCCTAACGCAGCTGTGCACAACAGGCGCCCTTTGAGCAACACCACAGTTTTTAGAAGTACTCCGACCGTACTGAATAATGCAATCGTCAGCCGCTGAGCGATCGGAATGTGTGGATTTTAGAGCCGATCTTTCTTAACTCTTCCTTCATTGAGGGAAGACAGCATCGCTACTTCCATAAATATGAATCAGCTCTACGCGTGAAGGAAACGCACGCCTGACTACCTTCTCACAGAGAACAGTACGACTTTAGCTCCAGACCGTACTGTAACAATTCATCATATTACAGAAATCCGCTGTTCTTCGTCAGGCAACGTCAATGCAGAAATGTGTGTTCTGCTGTTGTTTGATACCACAGGTTAGTAAATTTTTACTATCCACGTCAGGCCGTGTTTCTTCGTTTATGTGAAGAAAACAAGAAGCGTCTCTTGTTTGGTTAGTGTTTGCGGTAAAGATGTCCAGTGTGTAAAAGTCGGTAGCAACAAAACTGACGTTTTGCTTTGCTCAAGATTTCA